GATCTGGGGACAGCGATGCGTTGCTGGGTGCTGCAACGGGCGTTGTGTGGCCGTTGACAAGTCTACCTTGTGACGGTATTGCTGGAGGTGCGTAGTTGGGACTGCTAGTCCCGTTTGTTTTTATGGTATGATCGATGGATCCAGCCGCAGGCGATCCAATTGATGGCGGCGTAAGGTAGTTATCCGTCGGGCTCGATTGCTCGGTATCGGAAGATGGCTTCTTGATGATAGTGATGGGCGGCGGCGGAGCTGTCCGGTCGGGCATGGTGACGGTGTGTCCATTTTGTAACGGGTGTTTCTGGTTCTTGTAATCATTGTACTGGTCGTGGTGATGAGAGTCGTGGTCGTGATAATCAAAGTCTGCGCCTCCTCCGGCCCCTGCCGAGCCGTTGGGCAACGAGCTCATGCTAGTCGGCCTCGTCCCATTCATCTGATTGGGGATGGAATCAGAGACGTCTGAGGCGTGGGTTGATGAGGTTGAGCTTTCGTCGAAGCTATCATGGAGGTTGTTTGAGCGCGATGGGCGAAGCGGTAGGGTATGGGAGAGTCCGTCAATTGGGTGCTTGTGGCCAGACAGATCAAGCGTGTTGTTTGGGTCGAGGTCCAGAAAGTCGGAATTTGGCGAGTAGACGGGGGCGTTCTCGCGGGTGAGGTAGGTGGGCATGGTCGGTCGGCCGGGGTTCGAGACGTCGGGAGGCTGGACGTAGCTGAATGTGGGAGTGGATGTGACGGGGGGGTGTTAACGGCTACTGCTACTATTCTGAGCGATGTCGTTATTTTGTCTCTAGTTTGTCCTGGTTGTTCGTGGGGGTATCAGCGGCAGGATGGCGATATTATCGAGTCCTTGGATGGTTCGTTTGTTGGATTGAAAGAAAGAAAAACAGAACAGGCCGAGCCAAGTCTCAGCACATTGTTTTCCGATGAAAGAAAAAACAACGCAAAAGTCGAATCAATGCGGCCGTTCGTTCGTATGGATCGTCGAGGTTTGGGGGGTATCGTACTTTCGCTAGGCGTGCAATTGACGGGGGTCGACGTTGTCGCTGTCGATGGTGAAGATCGACGAGTACCAGGAGCAAAGATCGGAAATTGGGGACGATGCGTCGCTCCTGACTACGCGGTCGAAGTCGTCAGGTTCGTCTTTGTCGGGATGGAGGACTAGACGAACAGAGAGGAGGAAGCGTCGGAGAAGATGCGGAGGGTTGCGAGTCGAGACGGAGACAGAGACAGAGACAGAGACGGGAGAGGATAAATCAATGGCTCGGGCATGTCTCGACGGCGGCGCGGCGCATGATATGACGAGGTGGGTGGTGGTGGCCGGTTGGATGAAGAGAGGGAGTAGGAAGGAAAGCCGGGGAAGAGAGGTTTTGACGATGAGAGAGGCTCAGGTCAAAGAGAGCGCGCAAGGTTACGGGTCCACGTTGGTGGAAGAGACGTCTTGCAGGGCAGTACTACGTACAGATAGGCAGTGTCCAGTACCTTGAGGTACCTTACGAACCTACGGGTCACAGGTGAGGTAGGCAGGCCTCATCAGCCGGGAGGGAGACGCTGGAGACACATCAGGAAGAGCCGAACAGGCGGCCCGGCCCACTGAAAGAAAGCCACCGGGCCCCTGACGGTACCACTGATCACAACACAGAACCACTGAGAGACGCTGGTAGCCCGACGTGGACAGGACAGTGGAGGTTATCTTCCATCGACAGTCCGTCAAGAGGTACGTACTCCAAGGTTTACCACCTCAAATTCACCTGAAAGCAGGATGTTCAGCAGAGGGGCGGGACTCGGGGGGACGCTGGCAGTGATGGCAAGTTCAAACTTCAGTGGGCGAGTGGCAGAAAATGAAAGTGGGAGGCGGGTGCACAGGTTCCCTGTACGTACTCTGGTATCCACTGGCCGGCTGGATGTTCGCCCTGTTGCCCACTTCCTCCCGCGCCTTACCTAAGCTTCTGGATGGTTTGGTACCTTAGGCGGTAAGGCGCCATGTTCCTGAATGGGGGAAGGGGAAGGGGCTGGGTGAGTGGGCGGATATGTATACCTCCACCACAGATTACGTGCAGAGATACTTAGAGATCCACCTCTTCAAATGAGAGAGAAATACGCATCTCTGAGTGGCCGACGGCGGGGCTGCTACAGTGGGGTCAATGGCCCAATAAGGCTTGGCCGCCCACCGGTCTCTGGGTCCTGTTGCCGGGGCTCGAAATGAGCCGGCGACCTCTTCGCTTTTTGTTCTCAGTGTCTGTTTCTCTCTCTGTGTCTCTCTCTTCCTTTTCAGAGTTCACTGTCCCAATTCTCCTTCAAGTTACACCAAACATTGAAGCTAGGCATACTTAGGTAATCTTTCGCCGCCAAAGGGCCCCTGGGGAGTCCCCCGTCTCGCTCTCGCCGACACGGTCACCGTTCACTGGTCAAGAACACACAGGGACAGCAGCAAGTCCCGCCGCCCAGCCCAACCCCAAGACGTGCTTGACGCCGTGTTTCCGGCCAACTGGGTCAAATTCGACTACCAAGCCACGGCATCCAATCTCGACTTGTCAAGGGCCGTAGAAGGCGTCTCGAAGGGGGAGGGGGAGCCTGAAGGAGCCTCGAATATGCCACTAGTCGCCGATGGCCGTCGATACATCTCTTGAAGTTCTTCCGGAGTAACCTCTCTGCCACCACCATGGCCCTGACTCCATAAGACGTCAAAATCATGGGACGGAAGACCCCGCGGTCCTTGCATACACGTACATAAGCGGTCCCCTTTTCCCACCCTCATGTCCGTACTATTCATAGCACCCACCACCTCTGTTCCCCTTTCAACGACCTTCTCCGTGGATACGTGGATATGCACTCCGGTAGGTAGCATTGGATCGTCGACTGAGCCTCACTATGCATGCAGCTCCTTAAACCTGCCCTCACTTTGACCCTTGGAAGTTGGAACTCCCGAGTCCTCATATCCAACATATCCCTATCCCATCACTTCATCATCAAGTCTCGTCACTGCCAAAGTTAGGTTTTTGCACTGATCCACCGTGAGTGTGTCTCACAGCCACACTCCTGTTTTGTTCCTGCATATCCCTATGCCGCCGCGAAATCAGACATGCATTCGATAGCACTTCGTTAGATATTGATATTGTGCTCAAATGGCGGTACATCGATTACCACGTCTCGTTCCCTTCCCTCGCCCCTTACACGGTCCCGTCCTTCTGCCATCATGTTACTATATTTCAACTCGTTCCGAGATCTCAGGGTGAGGGGCCAGCTTTCACCAAAGCAAAGGCCCAAAGGGAGCCGCAATGGATCAAATGCCCCTGGACAGTTGTACGCGTGACATGTCGCATACAGACACACTTGTCCAGAACCATCCCGTTCCCCCCGTCAACACCTTAATATCAACGACCTGCCACTCTACATGCATGGCCGCCCCGTTGGCGGGCCCCCCTTCCCCTCTCCTTCGTATAGGCAAGAGCAACAGATTGCAGAAAACTTTCCCCTGCGCAGCTGGAAGACCCTCGTTGTCAGCCTGCAGAGCGGGGTGTACCACCAACCGTTGGGACATTGCGCCCTCATCTCGTCCCTGGTCGGCCCCCTTTGATTGTCTCTGTTTGTCGCAAAGCGACGGATCCTCTGGGGTTTCTGTTCCCGAATAGAAAACATGGCGAACAAGACGATGGAGATTGTGGAAATGCAGTCGGCATGTGGCCTCGGCGCTCACGTCTATCGGAAAAGTAGACTCACCCTCTCAGAGACACACATATCCCCCTCGTAGTAATGCTTCACAGAAGCGAGAGAGGCTCGAAACACGCAAGGTGTGCATTTACAGATGGCGATATTGACTTCCGCGTTGCCTTACCTTCACTCGTCCTCCAGTCCACTGTTCATATCACCACTAGTGTCGCGGGGCACGGGAACCCAAAGAACCCCGGGCCCGATCGCCGTCAGCAGTTAATCGGGCCTCCCTTCATCTGCCTCGCCCTCTGTACCTCTTTCCTCCAAGTTCCGACTGTCGTCCTGAATACAAATGTTGCGTTGCTCAAGTCTAGGGCTGACCTAAGCACCCTTCAGGGGCAGCCATGGATCTTTCGTGAGAGACAAGAACCTGCCCAATCACACATGGATCCGAGGCGTCCAAGTTGGTTTGTTCGAAATCAGCTTTTGGCCACCTGCGATTTCGCGGCAGCTAGCCAGCTACCGCATCCCGAGGGCCGCGCCGGACCATGACTCAATGAAATACCTGTATCCGTACCGATATGGATAGAGCTTATACATAGCCTCATCTTCTCTATCAAAAAGCATATTTCAAATGGTACCTTTCGGGCAAGTTCCTCTCCTAGTAGAACATCGTTGCCGAAGCCAGAGCCGTAGCCACTGCCATTCTTTTCAAATGTCCAGTCTCAGTCCTCCAACCTTCCCAGCCTAGGTCTTACCGCCCGCGGATCCCCAAGACGGGTAGAGAAGGATTGCGTATGCGTGCCAAAAACGGATGCCAACTCATCAGGCGCCCAAGATCGTCCAAGGTCACATCACGCACCACAAATCACACAACGGACATCACACTCGCACCACACGCCCCTAAAAACCTGACCGCCAGTCCCCCCCCCCAAAGATTGCTGATAGTGAGCCCTTCGGAGATTCGGGGAAAGATGAGAGGCACACACGCAGACACGCTCACTCACACCGTCTGATGCGAAGCTAGCCAGCGTGCCAGCCCAAACCCCATCGATGCTCTATACCGACCACCCATACGACCGTGACGTTGTGCCAGTCCTGGCCGTTACAACTGCACTAAACATGCACAGTCCCTGATTTACCCTGGATCGCCAGAACGTGGACGATCCCTTGGGACTGCCAAAAATGCAATGACCTCATGGTTTACCTGCCTACCTAGGCTCTCACTCGTAGGGTCAGCACTTGAGCCCAGTCGTGCCGCACGTGGAACATGAGAATGGACTACAGCAGACTCTTGAGCCCCAAATTCAATCTTTCACTCATTGCCGCGAACTTCTCTAGTAGCACAACCAGGAATGCCCTCTCACCAACCGGACACCCACCGCCCAGTTCTTTCACCAGAAGAACCAAGAAAGCTGTTCACACAACAAGTCCCTTCCCTGACGTTTTTACTCTATAGTGCTCCGTACCCGCTCCGGGTTCCCGCGCCTGGGATGAACCTCCTTGGTTTACGCGCGTGCCCCTGGCCTTTCACTGCCGCTCGCACCCTTTCCTGCCCGCCACCCGCCAGAACAGGAGCGTTATTCAGTAATGCTAAGGAATAAAAAACATGGTGGTAAAAAAATTTTAGTGGTTGCATCGAGAGCTTTGGCCCCCATCGCGGCACGGCACGGAAAGGGGCGCTTGCAATAAGGTCGTTCATGCTATGCGGTGCAGGCCTGGCCGTGGGCACGAACATGTTTGATGCCTTGAGTCCCAATACTCGTTCGTATAAGAGTGGTTATCGACTGTTCAGCGACTTGTCACTCTGAGCTTCACTGAATCGGAGTTTTGAGGCATCTTGCCCGATATCTCTCACTCTTCCATTCTGTTCTACAACATCTCCCGTCATACATCTTCTCCTCATCTCGCCAACACGAGGCCTCCCAGTGCAGTTCGTAACGACGGCTCTTTCGGGATTACGATAATCTGAACTCATCATCCCCCCTGAACCTAATTGAATCCTGTACTACGAACCCCAGAACATGTTCATGCCCTTACGTGCATACATCAGAGCTCCAACGGAATCGTCCGTGACAGGTCGCGATTAAACAATGCAAATGAATGTTTCCGAGCACGTTCACCTGCCTCATCCTGCAATTTACAAACAACGGACCGACAAAGCTTTCCAGTTCCTTCAATTGCTTGGAAACCCCAGGGATCATCATATTAATGCTGGCAAAGGGATGAAAAACAACAGACGATTGGTTCGTCACTTACCAGCCAACAAAGTCGCCGCCCTCCCCCTCATGCGCCGAACAGCCTCTCTTTCACATGTTTGTTTTAGATCAGGATGAGAAAACAAAGCTGTTCCAAACATTTCACAGGTAGCACAAAGGTTCTCATGCGCAGCATCTGATGTGGCGCACCTGTCACCAGATGGCATTCCTGCCGTCCTAGAGCTTATGCGGCCCTCAACTTGAGACTTGAGTTCATCTCATATCCTCGTTATGAGCCCGGCCTTCTGTCGAGCATAAAAATGGCTATTGGTATTTGTAGGCACAAATGCAAGTTCCTTCCTGTGCACGTACTCCGAAGGATCGTTTGCTGTCCGAGTTCATGCATAACCAATGTATTAATGGAGTATCACGTTATTACGCTCCTGCTCAACAACCTACCTGCAGCAGCATGTCCATCGGGTCCATGTCGCCAAAGACTCCCTCCAGACTCGCGAAATCAACATCGTCGAGGCCATAATAATGACCATATCCCTCCTCATGCGTGTTAGAATAGCATCCGTTGCTTGCGTCCCTTGCCTCTGTAGACCCCGATATGATAGCTCCCGGGGCATCACCTTTCAAGACAGGGTGGACAGGTTGCCCATCGAAAGGGTGAGTCAACTGGCGGACATAGGTGAGCGCCGTCTCAAGGGTACAAGTAGACTTTCCTGAAGACAAGTTTCTCTGTATGGATTGAAGTGATTCTTTTCCGCCCTTTGAGTCAGCTTGTTCATCTTCGGAAACCATGAAGGAAAAGTACTTACTGCCGAGGCGGTTTGCTATCCCAAATATGTTAGAAAGAAGGGGCTGTGAAAGAGGCTGGTAGGAGCGATACTCACCAATAGGCCAACGGCTCCCTATCTGCTCCATAAACAACTCCAGCAGATCAAGCTGGGAGGAGAAAAGGGACATCTCGGACGAGAGCGCTCTTTGCAAAGAGAAGATTGCGCCAACCAAAAGAACAATGTAGGAGCACAACGGGTCAACAACGTCAAGGTAGGCGGGCTTCCATTTTCCGACGACTTCGGCCGCGTCGTTTGCCTTGTCCAAGATCGAGTGCCAGTGTGCTGTGAGATCGGGAGCAGCCGCGGTCGACGAGTTGCTCATCTCCACGGCACAGATGGCGAGTAGCAAGTCGGAGCTGGAACTATTAGCTTCGCTGGCCCGATTTCATACGGGCACGATGTCGGGCGAGGATCATAGTGCTTACCAGGACCAGACAAGCAAATTCTTCAACCGAGACGCGTGGTCTTCTCCCGTCTCGCCAACGCTCAGATTCCTCACGGGCTGAAAGTACCACGAAGGCAACGCAAACGCCGTGGCCGCGCTGTCGCTCTCGAGCTCTCGCAGGCGGTTCTCGAGGCCTTTGGTGCGGCCGGACTTGACTAGGGATCTGAGCTCTGTGACGGATCTCACAAAGGTGCATACGCCGAGATAGAGGCTCTGATTCGTACATTCCGGCTGTGAGAAGATGGCTTTCATCGTCCGCCAGTGTTTCGGATGCGTTGATCTGCTGAGAGACTCGTGCTGCGATAGGTCCTGGTTGTGTTCAGAGTCAAGAGACGGCTGGATCATGGACTCGGTAGGTGATTCAGAAGTGAGCTTGATCTTCTCTTCGAGGCGATTCGATATCGCGTTTGGTGATGCACTTTGAAGGCTTCGATGTTAGCACAGTAGCGATGACTTCACAGGCATGCCCAAGCAAGACTTACGTGATGGCACAGCAGCAGGAGTCAAGGCGATAGATGCACCACCATACCCTGTTCCACTCCTCCATCTCAGCATCCAAGTCCTCCGCCTCGTCCCGTCGTCTTGCTGCCAGTCCATCCCCACCCCCGGCGTCTTTCTCGCTATTGAGATCAAAGGCCCTGCCAGACACGTTGCGCTGTCCTCCAAGGCACATCGTGTAGTACAAATCAGCCATCCTGGTGATCTTGGTGGTTTCGGTGACAGTTGCCCACGTCAAGGAGTCAGACATGGCGTGAAGGCACAGGAGAAAAGATGCTTTCAGTTCATCTACGCTCAGTTCCGAGTCGCTTGAGAGACTTTGAGCCCGGTTAGCAAAGTCTTCTGGTGACCACGGTATGACGCCTGGGTTCGCGAAGCGTGAAGACACGGTGAACAGGGCCATTTTGAGGCGGGGTGACATGCGCAGCGCACTTCTGAGTCGTCTGTCTGGACAAGTCTCGAGTAGTGGATAGTTTGGTTGGATGTGTTTGAAGTATAGATTCAATCTTGAGCGCTCTGTTAGTCCCTCAAGTCTTACTTCGCGTTGCTTCATGGCTGAATGTTGTTCACTAACAGGTAAGTTTCCATCTCGAGGCTGACGTTTGGGCCGTATGATAGGGGTCTTCCCAAGACATGCTCAGACCAAGACATAAGGGATGCATCGCCGTTAGTTCTTGTTCGATTCGAAGCTCTAAATGGTATACCATCTGAGCCATCAATGCAAACGGTTGTGTCTGTAGCTCGGCCACTTAACTCTGAAGAGGCGGTCAATTCAGTACAAGTCGAGGGTTTGAGTCGTTTTGTGCATCCTTTTGGAGGTCCTGGAAAACGCCGTAACACGTATCAGAAAACAAAGTCGAAGTAATTTTAGGACAACACATTTACCTGGTTTCCTTCTTCGTTTGGTATACGAACAAGTGATAAGACGTGTACGGCAGTTTCCACACGCAGGACGGACTTGGTCACCTGTTCCACGACCACGCTGTTAATCGAGGCCATGTGGGGGGATGAGTATCAGAGTTTTTGAGCGGCCCAATCTCTTACACTTCGTTTTCTTCCTACGCAGATGATGTCAGTTCAGAAGCTTCCTTCAGACGAGGGTAGTCGGGAGTTGATGGATGGGAACGAACACTCTACAATGGTCGCAGACTCGTAGCTTCCCCTCATCTGACTCCGGAGGACTCGAGGTATTGCTTGACGGATGATGGTCGGCTGTGGTAATCCGAGGCGATTCGGCAGACATGACGATACAGGAACTCAGTCGCTATTGGCCTCCAGTGCATCTGGACCCTGGATAGCTAGCTCGATGACACTCCGAATCGTGACCTCACGCCCTCCAAACAGATAGAGAATAAGGCCAGAAGTTTCCAATGTCAAATTTTGAACAGATTGTCTGGCAAAGGACAAAAGGAATCTCAGAAGTCAAAGCTACTTGTTACAAAGTATGTAGACGGACACGGCGTTTCGTGCTGCAGGTCGCGGGACATATGCAGAGGACCCGAAGAGGCTTAGGGATCCCGTTTTTGCGGGGTAACTTGTGGAGGTGCCGGGAGATCTCCATGGGGCTCTCGTACTTCCTCGCTTTCTGACGTCTTTGTTTCGGCCTCGGCAATTAGTAGCGGTCCGGGACTTTCTCCAATGAATTGATTATCGATGATCAAACAATCGTTCTCCATTTATAATGATTTTAAGTCTAGTTGAGCAACACATATCCATAACCAAGTTTACGATCGTGTGAGATACGTCGTATGGGCCATACTTACACCAAAATCTCCTTTTACCGTAATGCTGAGCTTTGCCACAGACTCACAGCTTATCTAAGTACTAGACATACTATCGCATGATACATTCCGAAGAACTGCGAATTCACATCCGCACACAATCTTGTGGTATCTCGGCTAGCCACTGCCTTGTTCCTTGCTAGCTATGATCTCCGGCGTCCGTGGGTTGAACCGAACCAACAAGCCCGACTGCTTCGCAAACCAATAAGTTGTCACCTGCCACTCCGGCTCACTCGACGCCCATTCAAGACTAAATTGCCGCAATATCTGAGGCACTACCTTCCCAACTTCCATGATCGAAATGTTCTTGCCAATACAAGTACGGACACCAGCCCCAAACTGCAGATACCGGACAAAAGGTCAGCACATTCCTTCGAGATGGCGAGATGGCGTCAACTTCATCAGAAGCTTCATACGTACACTCATGTTATGCCGGTCCATTGTCTTGACAGCTTCAGTGTCGTCGCTGAGCCAGCGCTCGGGTCTAAAGGTATCGGCATCGTCGCCAAAGATGCTGCGGTCGCGGTGGATCACGGCGGCGTTCATGCCTACGATGGTGCCGGCCGGTAGGTGAAACCCAGAGATTTCGGCGCCCGTCTTCGGGACGATGCGTTCGAGGGGGTAGGATACGCCTGGGTGCATCCGCATGGATTCTTTGATGCATGCTTGGCTGTGTGTTGTCTCAACGTTAGGAGAGTGAATCATAAAGGCCCAGGTTGCTGAAGGGACTTACAGATATACGAGCTTTTGGCTCTCTCCGAACGTGACCACGGGCGACAGTTCTCCTTTTGCTTGTGCTTCGTCGATTTCCTTCTGTAGAATATCATACACGCGCTT